CACAGCACGAACACTGACACCTGGAATACTCTCAGCTGGAGGACTGCAGAAGGCAGTCTCCTTATAACACAGCACGAACACTGACACCTGGAATATTCTCAGCTGGAGGACTGCAGGGCAGACAAGCCACAGGTCTGCATGTGCACACAAACATGTTTGCGTAAAACTTGCCTCTGAGTTATCCTGTTTCCCAAAGTACATGTCAGATGAGATGGCCTTCACGTCGCCGAACTTCCTCTGAGCCTCATCGGAGGCACTGCTAGACTCACAGTCATGCTTGCGCCTTGTCGTAGCCCTGTGTCCAGAGCAGGGCATGGCATGAGATAAAGAAAGCGGCAAGGAATAGGGAGACAATCCACTGAAGGCCTGCAAGCTCTACTCCAGTCTGTGCCTACAACATGCCAGCTGATAGCTCAAAACAAAAAGGTTCCTCTACAGCTGGTGTCCAAAATCAGACCGTACTATTGAAAAGTGCTCATCTACCTACACATGTGATTGACGCCATACCTCTCGTCCAGTAAAGGGGTCTTGGAAATGAGGAGGACATCTGGCTCTGACTTTCTGTTCTCCATCTTCCAGGAACTCTCCTCAGGCCCGGCCCAGCTGGAGAAGAACTGATTGGAGGGCTCTGCAGGCTCGTCCGTGTATTTGGGGGACAGCCTGCAATGTAAAGGGGGATATGCAGCAGCCAGCCAGCCTTCATTCCCAGTACAGGACTAACAGCCTGACATGACACTTGAGCTTAGATTCCTACACATGTAGGCTGTAATGTGCTATTTGCCTTGTGCAACAATTTGGACTAAAGCATCAGCTAAATACATAAAATGCAAATGTAAAGGAAGGAGCTCATGCAATACAGGCAGGGGGACAGAGTGCCGCTTAGGCAGACCATTGGTCACACATGGAGTTTAACAGCACCCCAGTCTTTAGGAGCCACCATGCATATTGCTTGGCGCCAACTTCACTCTTCACTGCATTATCTTAGTAAGTATTTGGGCAATATGTCATTGGGTATTTCACCATCAGTCAGTCATATAGCCTGTTGTGTCAGGCCACGCAATAATCAATTGAACCCTTTAAGGTTATTTTAACTGTGGAAATGTATTCTAAGTATTTCAGAAAGCAATAAATGTATTACTTAGTATAACTGCAAATTATCTAGTGCTGCATTTGCTAACCCATATCAGCAGTTTTTTTACCAGGTAAGGTAAGGTGTTGTCACTCACAAAACTGATTGATAAGTAGGTTGATCAAATTTTATGGTTTAATGTGACAAGAAAATAGGCAAAAGGGATCTCTCTAAAAGTTTTCACATATAACAAACAATGACATGTGACTAATTTTCATAGCTGACTGATTAAGACAGACCCTGGGCACAGAGAAAACCCTCATGTTGAGACATTTTCCGTGTTCAGCACCTGGAGAAGGTGCCATCTTCTTCCTCTGTGTACTTCCGTCCTCTGGAGGTCTGGATCACAGATGGCGCCTCCTGCTGGATGATGTGCATGTCTGACAGCACGGAGTGGGACACCCCACTAAGCACCAGAGGAGTGAACAAGGTAGGTGTGAGGAAAAGGCTGGTAAACAGCAAGTGCAGCAGATAATGCGATAACCCAGACCAAGCAGAGCAAGGCTGGCAGAGCATGCATCAGCGCACCTCCGGCTGCCAAGTCCCATGCCTAATCTTTCCACCTGCTCCTTCTTCTTCCCTTCAAGATTCTTCATCTTGCTTTCCTCCTTCTTCCTCTGGGTCTCTAGGTCCTTGTAGGCCAGAAGCATTGAAGAAGCTCTATATGGAATTGAAGGAGGCAGACTGAAGACAAGACAGGAGAGACAACTGACAGAACTTGGCTGTGTGGAGAGGCAGCCTAAAGACTGACAGGTGAGGCAGACAGATGGAAGCAGGCTGTAGACGAGGCAGCCTAAACATAAAGACAGGTGAGGCAGACAGAGGCAGGCTGAAGACAAAGACAGGACAGGCAGACAGATGGAAGCAGGCTGTAGACGAGGCAGTGCTCACATGTTCTCCTCGGCCGGGCTGATCATCTTGGCAGTGGACTCCCGGTGCTCCCGCAGCTTGTCCACAGCTTGGGCCCGTTTCTCCTGCTCTGAGAAGCTCTGACCGCTCACCTTCTGTGCTCCCAAACCACCCTTCTTGGTGGCCATCTGACACACAGATGGTGATATAAGAGGAACGAAAACCACATGTACAGTCATACAGACATTGACATACATTCATGCAAACTGCTGACAATTTTCTCAGAGTAAAAGCCTACAATAGCCCAGGCCAATGCATAAAAGCACAGGTAGCAGGGCTGGGTGATGCCCACCTAACTGGCATATGATGTTGTCGGCAGTAAAAGATCACAACGGACGATGACATGGGTCATCTAGTTAAGGTACTGTACATTTTTAGTTTACACTTTTTACATGATTAATAATAGGTACACAATGAATTAATCACTATTTTTTTGCACGCAAGCCCGACAGCCCACCCTCCTCCACCCATCCACTCTCCTTACTCCATAGAGCCTATCGTGAGTATGCATAAGTGAAGCCTAATTTAACCAGGTCAGTTTCAATTACAGTCAGTCCTGTATTACCCAGCGAATCTGTTCGAATGCAATTGATATATTTACACCCATGTCCAATACAATGTGGAATCGCATTTGTATTTACACGACTTTCAGTCAGAGAGAAAAGTATTATGCGAACTACAATGTAATATGGTTTTAGAGAAAATCATTACTGGCATGCAAATACAGCTATGCAAGTGCACGATAGTGATGTCCAATTCGTGAACAAATCATTCTTTTGAATCGATTCTTTTCAGTTAATCAGTTGAACAGTTTTCAAATCTAAAAGAATTGAACTTATTGTACATCTACGCAGTGCACAGATCAATGTCTTAGCTTCTAAAAATATTCGACAAATTATATAAAACACACAGCAACCTTTTTTTAATTCACAGCAAGTGCAGCAGAATGTGTACATCTGTACACGGCAGAATGTGTACACGGCGGAGTGACCCTCCGCCGTGTGCGCGCCCGGCCGCATGGTGCCCCTCCGCCGTGTGCGCGCCCGGCCGCATGGTGCCCCTCCGCCGTGTGCGCGCCCGGCCGC